AAATTGCTCACTATCAAAGCATAAGGATAACTGAGTAAATTTATATAAAATTCCTTTTTTTTTTTTAAATTTATCATTGTTGTATTCACACAGTTTTACTACTTTACAATTACACTGTTCACTATGTAATAATCCATGATTTTAGACGCATGAATATCCTGTTTTTGGTGCCCTGAGGATGGCCTAATTTAGGCCAAAACATCGGTAAATACACACTATCTTCTTCAAGCCGTTTATTTTTGACCTAATCCAACCTTTTTTCAAAAAAACCAACCTGAATTAGATCTAAGCCTTATATTGTGATGAGATTATGAAACTTTTAAATTTGCCATCTTTAGAACATAGACGAATATCCTTTGACATATCAATGTTATATAAAATTATTAACAACTTCATAGACGCACCAGATCTTCTTGCAGCTGTTGGACTTGGTATTTCTCCTGTTAATGCGAGAACCAGCTCTCTTTTTATTATTGATTTTCATAGGACAAAATGATAGCGCAGGGAAAGATATATATCAACTGGCAGCGTCTGCCTGTGTACGAGGACTTGACAGTGTCCCGTTGTTTCAGGTGCCAGGGTTTCAATCACAAAAGTGCGAAATGCAGCAAGGAACAAGTTTGTGCCAACTGTGCCGGAAGTCATGAATCTGAGTCCTGTGAAGGTATAATAAAAAAATGTGTAAACTGTCGAGAAGCAAATAAAAAATATAAACTACAACATGATACAAATCACTCAGCTCTGCATAGTGAGTGCCCATCCCTAAAATATCGTTTAAATTTATTGAAGAACAAAACAGACTATTATTCTTAAAAAATGGTAATACACGACGAGGACGAGATTCTGGAAGACATTGGAAAGAATGATATCCAAGATAAAATTGTGGGGCTGGAAACACTGCAACAAGTTGATGCAAATGACTATCTGCTAAGTGTAATGCATTTTAATATTAGGAGTTTTAACAAAAATATTGATAACCTAATTCTATTTCTAGAAACATACAAGCTATATAACATTGATATCATTGTTTTGAGTGAAACCTTTCAAATTGATGCTATCGAGAACTGTAATATCCCAGAATATCAAATTTTTTATAACCAGGCAAAATATAATAAAAACGACGGAACAATAATATTGGTTAAAAGGCATATTAATGTTGATTTCTCATTCTCTCTTCTACCAAACGCTAAAGCCACGGTTAGTAGACTGCAATTTCAAATAAGAAACATGACAATTGGACTGACAACAACTTACAAACCACCACCTATCCCAAAGGTAGATTTTGTGAATGACTTACATGCTTACCTAGAATCCTTAACCAGCCTCAATATTGAAATATTCACTGGGGACATTAATATAGACATCTTAAATGATAATGACAATCAAGTAATAAACTATATTGGGATGATGAATGTCATGGGGTTTCAAAGCTATATTAATTCTGTAACAAGACCAGCCTCAAAAACCTGCCTCGATCATATTTTTGTTAAAAAAAAGCTAAACGTAAATAAACTCAATTTTAAATCTTATATCATAGAAGAGGATATAACTGATCATAATCCGATTGCACTATTTATAAATCAGGAAAAAGACTCTCAAATTAGAAAAAATTATCAGGAAACAGTTTTGAAAACAAAGTTGGATGTTTTCAAATTCAAGCAGTTATTGCGCGATTTCGATTGGTCTGGTGTAAAAAATGAAAGTGATCCGGAATCTGCTACAAACTTATTTTTGGACATTTACCGAAAATTGTTAGAGGATGCAACGGAAACTAGATATGTAAAAATGAAGAACTATAAAAGGATTAAGGATTGGATTACAAATGGAATTGTCACTTCAATCAAAATCCGAGATAGAATGAAAAAGAAATTAATAAAAAATTATGATGAGCGACTGGAAAAGCAGTACAAAGAATATCGCAATAACTTGAACAAGTTAATTAAAAAACAAAAAAATGATTACTATAAACATAAAATTGAAGTTAATAAAAATAACATAAGAAAATTATATACAGTAATAAGAGACGCAACATATGAAAGTAAAGGCTTTGGCAATCTGTTAAATATAAAGGACAACAATGGACAGGAATTTATTGATGAGAAGGAAATGGCCAATTTTTGCAATGATTATTTTATCAATGTCGGAATAGAAATGGAAAAAGAAATCCCCCAACCACAAAGACCTTGTAACGCAGAAACACCTGTGAGCAATTCCATATACCTAAGACCCATAACACAACAGGAATTGATTAAAAATATAGCGAGTCTAAAAAACAGCAGCTCCCCTGGACATGATAACATTAGTGCAAAAATTATAAAAGAAACACATGCAGAAATAGCCGATCCACTATTGCACCTGCTTAATTTGATATTGGAAAAAGGAATAGTCCCGACCCAGTTCAAAACATCGATTGTAACACCAATTCATAAAGCTAACGCTAAGGAAAATATAACACACTATAGGCCAATAAGTTTGATCACAAATTTTGCAAAACTTTTAGAGAAATCCCTCAAAACTAGACTAATCGATTTTATGAAACATAACAAGATTTTATCCCACAACCAGTTTGGTTTTCTTGAGGAGACTAGCACAGCAGATGCAATGCATAAATTGGTAACAGAAGTTGTAAATAATCTAAACAATAAAAAAAAATGTCTGGCCATATTTTTAGATCTTGCAAAAGCTTTTGACACTGTGCCACATAACAAACTGCTTGATGTCCTCTACAATTATGGAATACGTGGGATAGTGCACAAACTGTTCAAGAGCTACTTATCTAATAGATTGCAAAGGGTGAAATTGAATAATACATTAAGTGAGGAGCAGCAAATTGAAATAGGGATACCTCAAGGAACAGTCTTGGGTCCCATACTTTTTTTGACTTACATTAATTCATTGTTGAAACTACCTTTGGAGGGAATAGTGGTATCTTATGCAGATGACACATCGGTAGTTGTATCAGGAGACGACTGGGAAACAGTGAGGGAAAAATCAGTAAGATGTTTCAAAATTATAAGAAATTGGCTACAAACATACAAATTAACGTTAAATATATTAAAAACTAACTATATAGCTTTCTCCCTCAATAATGTAAACCGACCTTTATTTAATTCAATAATTGTTGATGATCAGACTATCAAGGAAACCGCTTCTACAAAATATTTGGGGATCATAATTGACAAGTTTCTTAAATGGCAACCTCAAATTGAATATCTATCTAACAGAATACGGAAACTTATACACAAATTTTACTTATTGAGAGAATTTTTAAATAGAAAACATTTGATGATGGTGTATAAAGCCTTCATCGAATCCATTATCAGGTATGGTATTATTGTTTGGGGAGGACTATACAATAATAGTCTACACAAACTAAACATTATACAGAAATACATACTTAAAATTATATTCAAAAAAGATAGATTATACCCATCACATTTACTTTTCAATGATGATATTTGTAGCGTAAGATCTATATATATATTGACAGCGTGCACTTTCATGCATAAGAACCCTGAACTGCAGCATTTTGTTGACCATAAACATAACACTCGTACCAGAGCAAAAAATAGTTTACAACTACCAGTGAGCAACAACAATCTAAATCTGAAATATATAAATTATTTAGGACCAAAAATTTACAATTTATTGCCTTTCTCCATAAGGAAATGTGGAAATTTGAAATCTTTCAGAACTCTAAGCAAAGAGACAGTTTTACGAAATCACCGTCAATTTGAAAGGTTGTTTGATTGAGGCCTAATTTGGGTATAGGTTTAATTTAGGATTAAGTTAAATTAGGTTTGATTTGGCATTGGAGTTAGGTGGGTGATAACGGGGTTTTTGTCGATTATTCATTTTGTTACTTTCTTTTTTCTTTGTCATTCTTCTTCTTAAATAGGGGAAAAGAGGTTGCGAACTGTTTGTGTTCGCCGACCGTCTAAGTATTTGTGATATTTTTTTATTTTTTTCGATTTTTTGATTCTCTTTAATTGTATAACATATCCCTAACATTAAATTAAAAATATTGGGTACCTACATTTACAGCACATACAGATGTTTATAACATCTAGGTGCTACAAAATAAATCTTGTTTAATATGAATTTAATTAAGAGTAAATCCTTACAACTTATTGTGAATCAAAACTTGTATGTATGATCAAATAAATAAATAAATAAAAATAAATAAACTATGAAGCGAACTCTCCATTGAGTACGATGTGTAGGTTGACAAATGATGTGTTAGCTAGAAATCACAATATTGACATATTTGCAAACTCTCTTAGTAGATTTAATGAGAAAGTAAGACAAATTGTATACAATTAATCCGCCATTTTGTAATCTTGTTATACTGTAAACTTGTATTTTAATGTCTAGTATCACCGTTTATTGTTATTTTAAATTATTTATCTTTAACTACTGCTAATCATGTCCCAGCTTTTGCTGTGCTTATTTATTTTATTGTAATTGCTAAATGAGTTAATAAAATTTTGAATTTTTGAATGACTGGACTTGTTCGAGGATATGTAGTTTAGACTTTGTTAACAGTTTTAATGCAACTTCAAAATTTTCAAAAAAACAGAAAAATATATTTTTTTCAATTTCCAGTGTTTTTTTCTCTAGTCACATTTTCTCCATTTCAAATTTCAGGTTCTTGAATTTTCTTCAAGCTCTAAAGAACATTCCATAGCCTGAAGTCTGGGAATAGAACAAAATTGAAGAATTGAGGCTACTCTAACTAAAGTTGGTATATTGCCAGTGTACCGAGCAGTGTACTGTACACATGCATGAGATCATTGATGAGATCAATCATTATAACTTAGTTATTTAATGAACATTTTTCTATTATTCTTAAATGGTTTGCTGTATTCGAAATAATCGTACTTATGTAGGTTTGTTAATTTTGACTACATCTTATGGAAGTTCAAGGATGATGAAGCCTTTGTATGAAAAAACAAAGATCTTTTGCAACATAAAAATAAATAAAAACAAAACAAACTTACTTTTTAGCCATAGTATCGCAAGCCTCAGTAGTGTTTTTAAATTCTTCTTCCAACTGTTTTATGCAATGTTTAGGATATTGGACAACATTGACGTAATCCGTGTTGTGGTGGCCCCAAATTCGGTCCCACTCTTCCAAATAAGACTCTTTTTCTTCGCCTCGAGTCTCGAAAATGGATTCTCTCTTTGATTCTCTCCTTTTGGTGTTTGCTTTTGTCTCCTCAGATGCAGATGTGGATGGTTCACAGTCCATAATTGGGACTGTTTTATTATTAATTATGGATTAAAGTGATGACCCCAAAAAAAATTTTAAATTGGAAATTCTTTAATTTTAATTATTCAAGTATTATTATTTATTTATTTATAATTTGAATTTGAAAGGAAAACGGTTTTTTCTCATTTCAATGTCAAAGTCAGAAGTCAGGCGATTTCGATTTTCGGGTTGTTAGTTGTATTCCTTTCACACCTATGAGGAGCTCCGAAACAGCTCCGGGGCATTACGCGCCTATTCCTTTCGAAAAGTGTTTGCTGCATCTCATAAGGCAATTTTTCGCGGAATCAAACGATTATGCTCAGATGTTATGTGTCAATTGTGTCATACTCCCCTAACTCCATCCATTTCTGGGCCTGCGAATGACGTCACTATCAGCAGCTTATAGTGATGACGTCACCCGCAGACCTCGATGGAATGCTTGCTATTCAGGCTGTGCAAGTGAGTGAGTTAATGTTTTCGTCGATCTTAAATGTAGAAAAGGTGATTTTCAATTTGTTCTCACAAAAGAAGTTAAGTGTTCTTGTCATAGGCGTATCGACCTAGACCAATATTTTCCAGCGTATTTTATGTGACATGGGAATTTTTTTGTAGAAAAAATAGAAATAAAATCTATTTGTCTCTACAATAAGGTTTTTCTATGGCGGGCGCCTAATGCGGCAAGGGAATAAGTGCTTCACCTTAATCACCTTGCATATCTGGGTCCTAATTTTTGAAACAGGGGATCACTGTTCCCAGGAGAACGAGTTTCCGTCTTTGTTACTTATATTATATTATCATTTGAATATCATTGAGAGAGACGGAACACTCGTTTTCCTGGAAACGCTGCTCCCCAGTTTCAAGAATGGGGACCCTGAAATACTTCCTTTCCTAGGAGAGAAGGGATCCGTGCATAAAAATTTTCCACCTTGGCACAAAAAAAAGCGGCGCGATGCGAATATTTTTGTTGCCCCGCAAAAAATTATAGGCGCGTAACGTTTGGGTATGTATGTAACATGTGAATTTATGAAAAAAATACGCAACTTTCTATTAGTTATTCTCATAACATCTGTATACTTATTTTTGAAAATAAAGTTATTTGAAAATCGAATTTTTAAACTGCTGCGAAAACGCGGGATTAAAAACTGACGTCACTTCCCCACAAATGCGAGGATGCCGAATTTCTCATTTGTAAATCATTCCAGAACATGGCTGACATGAAACTAGTTATTTCACAACACTATGACCTATTTTCATCCTAACTAACATAAAAAAAAGGATATAGGTATAACTGGTGAACTCTTGCTATAACCTCTATGACTTTATGACCTATTACAATGATCCTGAAATATTTGGGGATTTCTCATGTGGAAACAAGCGCATGAATATTGGCTTTATCCAATGAGAGGCACGTGAAAGTGGCCCGTTGGGCTAAGCTGCGTGGCTTCAAAATTTTTTTTTTCTTCAAACGTCAAAAAAACGTCACTTTGTTAACCCCTGTCAAGATGTCAGAAATTTGATTTCTATGCTGCCAGGCAAATCCAGCGGGTTAACACCTGTCGAGGTGGTAGAAGTTTAATTTCTATGCTGCTTGGCAACCCCAGCGGCAGCAAAAGTACTTTTAGTGCCGCTCGTACTTTTACTGCCGCTCAACCATTCACTTGCCCCCGAGCTTACCCCATTAGTTTGGAGAAAAAATAGCGTGTTGCATACGGAGTAGAAGCACTTTTTTGTGCTCCAGAAGTATTGCAAGCCTCACTACGTTGAATTTCGGCTCGCAAACCTACTGCTTCAGCACAAAAAAGTAAAGCTTCTACTCCTAATACAACAAACTATTCACCTGCGCCGATTTTTTTTTTTTGGTCAACATTTTTTGTTAACACAGCCCCCCCCAAACCAAAATCCTGGATACGCCAATGGTTCTTGTTCCTTGAGTATCTGCTGAACGCTATGTTGAATTTGTGTTAAAACCAAACATGTTTCGCAAACGGTAAAATCATGACGTCATAATGAACGTAGTTCGCCGGAAGCATGGACGCAGTTTCTAGCCAGCGTTCAAACTCATGACGACACAAGACGAACTATGGTTCATCCTTGGATGAACTACATTCGTCGGGAAAATTTGGTTTTTGTGTGGTGACATGATATTCAGAGACGTTCTATCATTGAATCGTAGAATAAATTTTGAATGACACACGTTCGATGTGAACTTTAGTAATGAAACTTGTGTAACTTACCACTCGGCTGACGCCTCGTGGTTTAACACTACACGCGTTTCATTATGGTGTTTAAGATGACAGCGATCAATCAATAGTGATTAGTGATATGGTTTCATTTCATATTCTTAGTAGAGTCGAAATATAGTCATAATCGGCAATAAAATATGCAAACCAATCGCAGTTAAGAAAAGCGCTCCAGAAATGTGAAAGTATCTGGGACACAAATAATGCATAATAATCTCTTGGACTAATTCTACCGTCATGCATTTAAATCATAGTTTGACAAATATTTGACAATAAAATTCATATAATAGGACAAGAGCTAATGTTATGCTGTCCCAGTTACTTTTGGTGACGATGGTACGTTTTTGTTGTCGTCACTTAAATATATAGTAGAGTGAAAAGAGAACTACTTACTTTTCCTTATCGCTTAGTACCGACACCCTGAATATAGGGTTTCCTGGTGGTGTGTACCCAGGAGGGGTACCAACAAGACGCTACCTGAAGTGGCTGTACGAATTTGACAAGCGTTGAGAAACAGTAGTTGTCTCTTTTCACTTTTCTTTCTTTATAGCATGTGACAACAAAAACGTACGACTTTCACATTTCTAGGGCAGGTTTCTTAGGGCGGGTATTATAAAACTAAGTACTTTGAGAGTTAACTTAAAGTTAACTTCTAGAATTACATGTAATTCAAAAAGTTAACTTCAAGTTAACTGTCAAAGCAGTTTTATATTACCCATACCCAATAGGGAACTTGCACTTTTTTTTTTATTTCAAAAATGTGTTGTACTACACTAAAGACATAGTCATGCCAAATATCAAGCATTAAAAATCAGCCGTTAATTTTTTATAAATATTTTTGAAGTTACGCTCGAAACATCGCCATTTGGAACGACCGATTAGTGTGACGTCACTCAGCAACAAAATTCCGTTCACAGTCCTTGGTTGACAGTGACCTGCGAGCAGGTAGATTTAGATTATGGTTATGTTGTTATGTATGCCGTTTATGATAGATTTGACATTGACAACACCACCAGCACATGGCGTGGCAGCGGTGCGACCCGATTATTACTGCCCTTTGACGTCAGGACCCATAGAAATACGTTTTTGATCTCGTCAAGAATTTCGAATTATTTGGCATTTTCAATTGAAGATTTTAAAAACCAGAGATAAGATATTATATCCTTTTCCTAATTGCATCATTTATTAGGATGATTGTTATTGTATTTTATTATTTATTTCATATTTAATTTAATGTGCAAGTTCCCTATTGTTATTAAGCGTTTTCACGGAGTTGTGGTATCATGAAACCATATACCGGGTTACTCTCTAGTCTGTCATTAACGTCAGTTTAAATCGATCGGTATCGGAAGGTTATGAAATGTTCTGGGGTGCGTTCAAGGACGGCAAAGCTAATGCCAAAACCTACTTTTCCCCCTCCACCGGTAATGCTGAACCACGTAGTTTGGAGCCGAACTCGAACGCAAAATGCCAATTTTAGCTTGGCTGTAGCCAATCCTGAACGCAGCCCCGGTATCATTATTTCGCCTCGCATTTCGCCCTTAGATTTCGCCGTCGTTATTTTAGAGAGTTCTCGTGCCGTCTAAATTTCAAATACCGTAACGCTATTTGACAAGTATGACAGTTCTTACGGTATTAGCGTTAGCGGAGTCCGCTATCTAACGGAACTTACCGGATGCCTTACCGTAACGCTATGCTATGTCAAAACTAGTTGACGCTCCATTTATGTCTGCAAAAACAGCAACTTTTAATAATTCGTCCATAAAAAACACCAAGGGAAAATGAATCAAGTTCAAGAATCTTCAGATTAAATAAAAGTTAGAAAAAACCACAAAAAGTGGGGCTAGATCACTCAACTCAGCTGTCAAAATGTAAACAGAATAAGGGATTAGAGGATTTATGTGTCTTCGTGCCCGAGAACTATAAAATACCATGTGAAATACCGTATTGTTAGCGGTACCGTATTAGCGTAGCGTGTGACGCACGAGAACTTTCTATTGTTTGTTGATGTTATCGGTAATGTGAATACAGCTTGCAGCTGCTTGCAATAAGCACCAAATGTGATGGTGGAATATCACAAAATAATGTTGGAAAAGGAGTTTTATCAACATTATGGTGGTTGACGAAAGGAGAAACCTATCTTCATATGCAGATAGGTTGAATGTCCGAATATTTGCATGTGTCGGAAAAGCTGACTTTTGAGCATTATCGAACAATAAACTCACAATGTGATTTTGGTATTGTATGTAGTGGGTGTGGTGGGTAGGTACAAAAATATTGAGCTCCTAACTATTTATTTTTATATCAAACTTGTGTGTTTTTGTTGTTTTTGTTATAGGTACCTATTTTAACAAACAGTTTGAATATTTTGTTCTGTAGTATTTAAACCTGTATTTTCAATAAAACGTTGGATTATTATTCCCTTTCTGTTTGTTTTCATAGGTATGTTCACATCACATGAATATATCATGATGTACCAATACACTAATACACTGGCTTTTTTTATCTACTTTATCATGGAAAATTTATATACAGACCATACCAACCTACTAGACACATAGGGAGTAATAAGACGCATTAGGTTGTACCCGGTTAAGCCGAATCGAGTCGTTGTTAGGGAGGGGGACTACTATAAATTCTTATCAAAATTTGTTAAAATGACCGCATACCCGCTTGCCCCCACCATTAGAAGTTCCAAAAATACTGTAAAAAGACCCAAAAATGTCGCGCCTGCGGCGCTTTGCTTCCGGCATAGCTTACGGTGAAACTACAAGTACAAGGATCACTTCCTGTAAATTCACCCCCGTCCCTCAAGACAAAATCCTGACTACGCCGAGTATAGCCGAGCTGGCGAAGAAGCACGAATTTTATCAATATACAGAGACGTACAACTAGTCCCATTCAAGTCTATGTGTCTACTAGCCTAGTCTTGTCTGTATAATTATTTCTACTTATGTTAATTTTTGGTGCCCAAGCCCCCATATTGATTTTGAGATTCCGGCGCCTATGATACCATCATCCCGAATCCCGAGATGGTTGAAAGCTTGACGGACCGAATGTCCAAGAGAGAATTAAGGAGATGGAGATTCCGTCCGCCGAACGTATTTTGTTCACATTTTATTATTATTTAGTCATAGGTAGGTACGAGAGTCGAGAGAAGAGAGGTTAATTATATGATTATAGTTTTATAAATAATTAGTTATTTTTTATACAAGACGATAAAATGGTAGTTTGTCGTTGACCGGAAAAGTGAATTCACGAGCGGAATCGCGAGTGAATTAATTCCGGGAGACGATAATGGCATTTTATCGTCGTGTGTAAAACAAAGTTTTTTTCCATAGCCTAATTATGGACGCCGGTAGTATCAAAAATATTTAGAAATTATTTGAGTCGAACACTTTTGCATAATAGTCTAGGAGGCAGTGACGATTTTCGGCACTTATTTTCCCAGTCAGACAACATGGATAGAATTGTGGGGTTATAGTAATTCTAAACAAAATTCATATATTTTTAGGGGGGTTTCCGATGGATTGAGGCGCAAAATGCGTAGAGCTTACGAATGCACGGCCGTTTTTTTCTCCAGTGATAAAAATAGTTCTACTAATGAGAAGTATACTGAAGTTACGTAGAAAAATAGTCCGGCTAATCTGTGAGTATGGATAAACTCTGACAAGTGGAAAATTGAAGATCCGAAAAATTTCAGCCAGACTCACTTTCCAATATCTGAGATAAGCCAAATTGCTATTTTTATATACTTTATGTTCTATTGTTGTAAATGTGAAATATTTATGACTGGGAAAATAAGTGTATTGCTTGTATTTTTCATTGATCTTGTGAAACCATCCGAAAATTTTTGCTAGACTTAAAAATTCTTGTTTTTTATCACCAAAAGAACAAACTATTTAAAATACCCCAACTGGGAAAATAAGTGCTAAAAAATATCACTGCCTCCTGGACTATAAGTAGAAATTCGTTTGACAAACTTTTACAAATAAATAAAAAACAAAATAATGTATGCCTATATTTTTGACAAAATAAACGCCTTTATCTATCCTTGCTGTTAAAGTATCATTTAATCTACCCTTGCAGTTAAAGTACTACTTTATCTACTATTTTCAGTAGATTAAAGGCTACTTTACTAGTAGCTATGAAAAAAAATAAAAAACGGTATCATTCAGATAAGTTATGATTTTCGCAAAATCTCGTATGTATACACGATTTTTCTATAAGTAAGTTATATATTTCAATCAGTTTTGGATAAAATATTATTTAAAAATGACTAAAATAACTAAATGAGTGTTTTGGGCAACAATTTTGCATTATAATAAAAATACATATACTTAGGTACCTGGGCATATTCCATACCTACCTATCTAATTTTGGTAGGTATTTGTTTTTAATTTTTAACCATTGAACCCTTTCTATAAATAAAATATATCATAACCTATTGTTCCTAATATTTTGTATTCAGCAATTTCATCAAAAAGACGTAATATTGATGTTTAGAACTAGAAAGTACGGAAGCTTTGAAGGCTCAAAATTTAGATACAAGCTTTTTTTTTATAACTCAGAATTATTCCTGTGATGATCTCGGAAATAATCCCGACTCACAGATTTATCTCAGGAGTAATCCTGTAACATAGGCGATAATAAAGAAAATATTTTGTGAGGTTTAAGAAAAAAATCTAAAACTTTCGTATTTTCAGGTAGGTATCTGATAAATTTTCAAATAACCCCTGTGTCCGTGGGTAATCATTTGAACGGATTTCCTGAAGTAATTCTTAATGTTTCTACCTAGTTTAAAAAACGAAACTGAAGCAAATTGTTCAGTTGATAATAAGAAAACCAGTACTCAGCACTAACAGCAATACAAAAAGAGATTTTTTTTTTAATAGTTTATGATAGTAGTAAATTTTTCAATAAAGTAGAACTTCAAAGTAACAAAAGAAAAACCCTCAGTAATTTTTATTATTATGATGCATTTTATTGAATATGTTTCGGATCTGAAAAAAGTTCTTCATCAGTCGCTCACGTTTAATAATTTATTGTGTTGAAACTAGCACTTAATTTGACTCAATTAAATTGGTGGCTGATGCTAGCATCTCATTTCATACGAGACGAAGAAACAACTGATAGAGAGCCGCGCTACGTTACTGCAGAGCCGGTATCGATCCAGACCGATCTGGACCGCGTGTACACATCCAGAAATCATCCCAGAATCTCGCCGTCGTAGCTTCGTAGGTCGTGTCGTAGTCTGCTGGTTTTTGGTCAAAAAAAGGGCTAAAATTAGACAAGAACACTTAATAATAACTTTATTGTTGGGTTCACTATGATGTTGTTTTGTGGTGGGGGCTAATATTGAGTGTTGTGGTGCACAAAAAACACTAATCTAGTGTCCGGACGCGGTAAAGATTCATGTGCTGCCTGGAATTAGAGAGGTAAAGCGAGCTTTTTTGACAATTCGCTGTGTTAATGTGTGCACTGCGGATAAAAGGACCTATTTTTTCTTTATTTACCTACTTTTTTTAAAGTTATTTTGCATGTGCCAATAATGTTTTGATGGTTTTTTTCAATGTAGCTATTTAGAAAGTTCGAATATTCTGTATCGAATTAAAGTAATAATAATATACCGCAATACGTTCGATAAAAATTAGATAAAATAAGCTACATCAATGAGAACTTTAGGATTATACGAAACAAAAATCACATCTAATTAACAAAAAACAAAATCAAGATTTATTATTGAAAATCCAATTATTATTTTTTTACACAGTATGAAGTTTATGAATGGGTTTTTAGAGGTTCCTTTAGGTATATGTTATATATTATCAGTTTCCTTTAATGAAATAATAAATAATAAAAATAGTAATGCAAGATAACATTATTAAATCTAGCAACAGGAGAAACATTATTTTCTGAAGTAAATGTAATTTTACCAATTATTATGTTTGCAAATTTAAAATTGAAAAAAACAAAATTGCAACATTGTAAAAATAGATTATTGTGCCTTTTTTACAATTATGTATCTCAACAAACCTAGAAACAATCGACATTCCCCCGGAGAACTCAGCTCGCAGAAGTCCGAATAGTCATTATTTATAAGAGAATCTTACTCATGAAAAGTGTCAAAAAGAAGCCATCACTTTTTATTTCTGCGGACGTACTAATTTTCTAATTCATTTCATAATTTTGATGAAAAATGCTACTGTTTTTTTTTTCAAATGCTAATCGGTCGTTAGATCGTGTTAGTTCATCATCATCATCTAGAATAAATTGAGCCATAACCTATTCCTATTCTTTTGAAAGCACTCCATTTTTGCTCTGCTTAAATTTGAGCAAACAGTCGACATAGATCCCAGTGTTATTTTTTAATTCAAACTTCAGATACGATTGGTTTTAACAAAACTTTTTAAATTAATTGAATGAATGCACAAAGAAGATGAACATGTAGAGCAAGGCGAAAGAGAAATGGTAATTAGATTTCCGCATGAAGACAAAACAAATCTTCTAGGAACACAAACAAGAAATAATTAAACGACTATAAGCAATAAACTACTACCTACCTACTTCACTAGAAATGCAAGTTGATATAAACAGAAGTTTTTGAATTCTAAACAAATTCTCTTGAATTTTTATCAGCCTTTTCATTTTTTGGAACAGATATGCATGCCAAAGTTTGAATAATTTTGTTTTATTTTAAGCTATTCCTAAATTAATAATCGTTTCCTAATGGCACATAATTTTAAATAAATTAGTCATCTTCCAATAGTTCACGAATGTTAAATTGAATTTTATTTAACTTCTCACTACTTCCATACAGGAGACTCTACATCAAATACATTGGGTACATTCAGGCGGTCCCAGCGGCTTAGTTCAGCCACTCAGTAGGAACTTTATTCTCGAAACAGGGGAGTAGCGTTCTCATTGGAACGAAGGTTCTGTCTTTGTCGTCCGGCATAACACTGACAATGACAGAGCAATCGTTCTTATGAGAACGCTGTTCCTTGATTTCGAGAATAAAGTCCCTGCTGAGTGACTGAGCTTAGCCGCTGGGGCCGCCTGAATGTACCTATTAAAATTCTGTAAGCCTCTAAAAAAAACTATTAAAACATTATCTTAAAAAAAAAAAAACATAGAAATTGTCAATGGGGTGTAAAGTAAATAAAAAAACCAGATACAAATTGCTGTGCAAATTGCATTCAAGATTTTTAGTAGGTATCTTTTGACCAAAATATTGAAAAATAATAAAATTGAAATTAAAAATTCCTGTATGTACAGGGTGGTCATTTTATCTTGATAACATTTCATACTGTCATAATTTCTTTATTTCTGAAGTTATTTAAATAAATAAAAAAACATACTGTAGCCCACATAACAAAATTGCATCCTTAGAATGTATTAAGAATGTTCTTTTTTTAGGAGGTATGTGCCTAGAATGTTCGCCAAAACCATTGCGAATGTCCTGAGAATGTTCTGAGAAAAGATTGTAGAAATACTGTTTGCAATACCCAAGAACTTCCTGAGAAATCCATTAGGATATTCCTAGAATATACCTATGAGATTCTCAGTACATCCTGAAAAGAATATTCTTGTTTGATTCTAAAAATATGCTCGATATGTATAGGTATTCTCACATTTAAAGAATGTTTCTATGACATTATAGTTATGTTCTCAAAAGAATATTATACCAATATGCTTGAAATATTCTTAGAATATATCTACATATATCATTCTCAATATGCATCCTAGACATAACATTCTTGGTTGATTCTAAGGATATACTTGGAATGTTCATTTTCGCTTCCAAATAATGCTCCTTCCAGCCCTTTTATATTAAAGGCAGTGAAAGAGTTGTTGGAAAACTTCTCTGGAAAACACAAGTATTTAACCAAAGCTCCGGTTTCGAGCTTGTTATGCTCTCGTCAAAGCACATCAACTGAGAGAAACAGGTTCCAAGGTGATTCAAACGCGAGGTAAGCTGTAGATCTTTAATAGCGCGTTGCTCCCTCTCTTGGAAGTCCTACAAAGCAAAAGGAAAAGAATATACCTATAATATTCTTAGTAGGTTCTAGATAGATTATTGTTTAATTGTTAAATTATGATTTTTGAGTAGGTAGGGGAAAGTACACTGAGATGGCATAGTCACTGAGATGGCATAGCGCTTGTATTTGTGAGAATCGGATAGATATGGCAACACCGCTAATGCTGCGCAATCCAAGGCATATGCCGTCGTACCGACGCCATTTTTGGTTTATTTCTGTTCGCTTGTGAGTTGCTGCGTGAACGTTTTAAAAAAACGACGCTTAAAAGTTTTTTTTGATAAATATTTCTGTGCTTGTTATCGGACGCCAGTAGACAATATAAGGTAAGTTTCAATTTTTTTCTCTACCTTTTGGGAATACTGTTGAAACTAATCTTGGTGGTTTACTGTTTGTTTGAAGTTTCTAATTTTCATGACTATATTTCAGTTTGCACGTGTATGTGGGTAAGATGGCATGGAGCTGGGTTGTCTGAGATGGCATAGTATGCCATCTCACCTACATCACTATCTTATATTAATTAGTCTGTTAATACATTTTATCTGAAATAGTATATAATAGTACATTAAAATACAAGTTTCATAAGACGTCATTTTATCGCACGAGCCCTATATTAGAAAACGAGCCGGAGGCGAGTTTTCTAAAGGGCGAGTGCGATAAAATGTCTTATGAAACGAATATTTTATACTATTTTTTCTATTTTGGTATTGTTTAATTAGGAAAAACAAATTTTTCTTGAACATTTTATTCTCATATTTCCTGAATTCATATGTTTAGGTTGGTAACACTACTTGCCAAATATAGAAATCTTCTATTATAAAATCACGAATGACAGTTCGATGGCCATCAGTCAGCCAGTGTTACCAACCTTCGATAAGTAAAAAAGGAGTGTCACAAAGAGCTTCTTTTCGAAACTACTTTTAGTGTCGAAAAGACTTTAATATGACACCAAATTAGAAAAACTTCATTTCAGATATGGCTCCATATATTAGGAAATCTTCAAGGCAGTCATGGGATGAGAATCACATTAGGGAGGCCATCCATGCTGTTCAGAGCGGTCGAATGCGTTGGTTATTGGCGTCCAAAACGTTTGATGTTCCGTTCACGACATTGCGGCGCCGTGCTCAAATGGGAAATAGTGCAAAAGGATATCTAGGTGGACATAAGGCGACATTTGACGCAAACTTGGAGAAAGAAATAGTCAATCATCTACAAGATTTAGAGATCAGATTCTTTGGGATGACTTCGGTCGATGTTAGAAGGTTAGCGTATCAAATAGCCGTTAAGAAGAAACTTCCTCACAGATTTTCATTTGAAAAGGAGATAGCTGGTAGAGGTTGGTTAAAATTATTCAGAATGCGCAATCCTACAATATCTTTTCGCATACCGGAAGCTACTTCAGCTGCAAGAGCACGCGGTTTCAACCGACCACAAGTTCAAGCATTTTTCCGTAACTTGAACGAAATAATGGAAAAATATAACTTTGAGCCACAGCAAATTTGGAACGTTGACGAATCAGGGTTTAGCACAGTACCAACGCAACCCGCCAAGATTTTCGCAACTAAAGGTCGAAAACAGGTTGGGGTTTTAACAAGTGCTGAAAGAGGCCATCACTTCACTTCAGTTTGTTGTGTAAACGCTCTGGGAACATACATTCCACCCGCTTTTATATTTCCCAGAAAAAATATGAAATTGGATTTAATGGACCATGCTCCAACGGGTTCCGTAGGATTTGCTCAGGAAAAGGGATGGATGAACGCAGAGGTCTTTCTCAAATGGTTGCAACATTTTGTGAAACAAAGCAAAGTTTCACCTCAAAACAAAGTTTTGTTGCTTTTGGATGGTCATTCTAGCCACAAAAACATAGATGTTTTAACATTTGCGAAGCAGAATGGCATCGTAATTTTCTGCTTTCCGCCACATTGCACCCACAGGCTTCAGCCGCTAGACGTTAGTTTCTTTGGGCCATTGAACACGTTCTATAATCAAGAATTGAATATTTGGCTCAAAAGCCACCCTGGTAGAACGGTGACTCACCAACAAGTTACAGGAATATTCAATGAAGCGTATCTGCGAGCTGCAACAATAAAAAATGATCAAAGTGGTTTCGCGTCTGCTGGAATATTCCCACTCAATGAACATATTTTTCCAGACTACATGTTTGCACCTGCGGATGTAACTGATGTTCCAGTGCCAGTGGTACCAGAAGAGCCAAATGATGTTTCAGTAACCGCCCAAGAACAGCCTGGTCCTTCATCATCCAAAGACCCTGTGGTACCAAAAGACCCAAATGGACTTTCATCAGTAGCCGCCCAAGACCAACCTGGTCCTTCATCATCCAAGGACCTAAGCATATCCGAAATTTCGCCATTGCCGAAGGCAACTCTTACAATCAGATC